AGACCGCAACGTGCCAGAAGTTTGGCAACGTGTCGCCCTGTTTGAACCCCACTTTTGCGATTGCAGAAGGACTGCATGTAAACAAAACATATATTTGGAGTTCTGATACTGGCCTCGTGCAAAAGAAGCCCTAAATCGCAAGCTCAGAACCCTAAACCCTAAACCCTAAACCCTAAACCCAAAACCCTAAACCCTGAACCCTGCTCCTTGCGCAGAGAGGCGCTCTGGGCCTGGACGGGCAAAACCCTAAGACAAAGAACCGAAACGCGAAACTCTGAGGGTAGAGGCTTTAGGGTCTGGGGTTGAGGGTCTGGGGTGTTTAGGGGTCTAGGGTTTATAGGGTTATATAATTCCATGGTCCCTTTAGGCCTTGGGATTTATAGGTTATAGCAGGGGGATAAACGGGCCCTTGAAACGACCCGAACTAAGAAGGGTTTAGGGCTGTGGGTACGGTTTAGTAATTTAGTTTCATTAGGGCATCCACTTAAAATGGAACTTCTGGCGGGTGGGGCCCCAGAAACCTTCGTTTCTGGATTTCGAGGGACCGTTTTCTGGTACCGGTACCGGGACTATAAGGAGCAGCAAATATTCTATGACACAAAACCCTCGCCGCCACCCACAACCCTAAACCCTAACCCCTACTGCCCCCCCCCCCCCCCCCCTAAGTGAGAAAGGCAAGTATGACCTGGTGGTACCGTACCCGATACAACTGTTCTACCTCTCCCCCTAAACCCGAAACCTTAACCCGCCCCCCACCCAATGTCAGGAACACTTGCCTGCTGCATGGATCTCGCTTGGGTCTCCCAGTCCTCCAGTGGCGAAACTAGGGCTCACAGGCCTGAGAGGGGCTCATGCGCCTTATGGGGCTTTGTCGGGCTTACGGAACTTACAGGGCCATACAGGGCCTTACAGGGCCATAGGGTTTCTATAGGACTGAGAGTTCTTCTGGGGCTGCTAGGACTTCTATCTAGGGCTTTAGAGGGCTTCTCGGGCCTGTGTAGACCCCAAACCTCAATGCGTGAAGGTGGGAATCCCAGAAAAGCGCGTGGGTCCATGCGTAGCCATTTATACTACCCTAAACCCTAAACCCTAAACCCTAAACCCTAAACCCTGAACCCTAAACCCTAAACCCTAAACCCTGAACCCTGAACCCTGAACCCTGAACCCTAGGGAAAACCAAAAGCCCTGGGATGCCTAATTCCATAATGAATACTCTCAGATGGACGTCCCCCAACCCGAAACCCTCAACCCTAAGCCCCCCAAACCCTATACCCTTCAAGCCGTAAAGCTGTCTTGCCCCAACTTGCCGAAAGCGCCTCGTGTTGGATCGCCAGCTTGTGCTCAAATGCCTGCAGCTTTCTTTTGGGTGCGGTTTGTTTAGGGTCTGGAGTTTAGAATGTTGGGTTTAGTTGTTCCCCACTTTACTAACAGTCCCTAGTAGGGATTACAGTACGCCCCCATGAAGGGCTGTTAATAGAAGGGGAGACATCCCAACCTATAAGGCCTATACGGCCGTTGCCGAACATATGGGAACCCTAAAAGAGACCTCCAAATCGTAGGATTCCCTTATAATGCGGACCCCAATGAGGCACCCCCAATTCCGGAAGCCCCCAATATGGTAAATGAAGGCCAAAAAGGAGAAGTTGCGTGCAAGGAGTCTTTGGGGTGCAGATGCAGCGAGGGGGCTGAGGCATGAACCCACCGCACTTCTGTCACTCTCTATGTCGTGTGCTTAGGGTTTAGGGTTTAGGGTTTTGGGTTTAGGGTTTAGGGTTTTGGGGGTTTAAGGGTTTAGGGGTTTAGGGGTTTAGGGGTTTAGGGGTTTAGGGGTTTAGGGGTTTGGGGTTGCAGGGGTCCGGTTCATGGGTCGGCTTCTTGTGGCTTGGGATATTCCCCCTTATACTGACAGTCCTTAATAGGGGGTTCTACTTGGGGGTACTATAACCCTATTAAGGACTGCTAGTTTCAGGGGGCAACATCCCGACCTGTAGCCGTGTTAGTTAGCAAATGCGGAGATCCCACAGGTGGTTGCAGTGCCGAGTCTCCTTGTGCAACTCTGCGGAACGGTTGTCCAGTTCCTGGCAGGGGTTTAGGGTTTAGGGTTTAGGGCTTAGGGTTAGCAGCTTCGAAAATCGAGGCAGATGTGCCCGACTTGCTTGCGGGGCTACGTGGATGATGACAGGGTTCAGTTCGGGTTTAATAGGTCAAAATGCTGTTGAACAAGCGTAAGCTTTCAGGCTTTAAGAGGCTTAGCTTTTGTTAAATGCAAGGAGGTGTGTGTAGGCCGGTAGAGCAGGGCAAGGTGACACTGTGACAACAAAATGCGCACTAAATCCTAAACCCCAAACCCTAATTAAACCCTAAACCCTAAACCCTAAACCCTAAACCCTAAACCCTAAACCCTAAACCCTAAACCCTAAACCCTAAACTCTAAACCCTAAACCCTAAACCCCTGCCTCGGCTAGCGAATCGATCGTGGTCTGGAAGGCCTCCCGTGGCGGCCCTTCAGCTCTAGCTATCCTGAACCCCTGCAGCCCTGAACACTGAGCAGGGTTTAGGGTTTAGGGTTTAGGGTCTAGGGTTTAGGGTTAGGGTTTAGGGCTACCCTCCTTGAAAGTGTCCATGAGCCTCCAAGGAAGCTTGCCAGTCTACTATCGGCTATAAGGTTTCGGGGTTTAGGGCTTCGGGGCATATTTAAGCCGAACAGGTATCTTTTGGTAGTATAACCCTACATTGATTTCAAGGAGTTCACACTGGTAGTTTCCTAAAATGTCAGGCTCCTAGTGTGGGGGGTCGCGGGAGGAGGGGGGAACCCTAAACCCGAAACCCGAAACCCTAAACCCTAAACCCTAAACCCTGCACCCAAACAAAAACTAAACCCCCCCGAAAGCCGATGTGTTAGAGCCTGAAGTTAGGGGGGGGCTCGTCATGCATATGCACCCCAGGTCTCCATGTAGCCCGGTCGTGGGCTGTAGTTCACGAGCTGTCGGCACCTAAACCCTAAACCCTAAGCCCTAAGCCCTAAGCCCTAAGCCCTAAACCCTACCCTAAACCCTAAACCCTAAACCCTAAACCCTAAACCCTAAACCCTAAACCCTAAACCCTGAAACCTAAACCCTAAACCCTAAACCCTAAACCCTAAACCCTAAACCCTAAACCCTAAACCCTAAACCCTAAACCCTAAACCCTAAACCCTAAACCCAAAACCCAAACAAAAACAAGCTTGATTTGCGAAGTTCTCTAAATTGGGGCCGCTTTTGGGGTCCTCTTCATAGTGCGGCACCCTTACAAGGAGAACCAGACAACTACCCATTCAAGGCCTTGTGGATCCGCTGGATCTCCGACGGCTGTGTCATCTGCTGCCAAAGATCTGCCCTTAGTTGGATCGGAACCCTAGGGTGCAGGGTTTAGGGTTTAGGGTGTAGGGTGTAGGTATAGGGCGTAGAAAAACAGTCCATTAGACTAACTTAGAAGTTATAACCTTAATGTAATCTTCGCTCTCTTTTCGCTATTTTACAATCCTGCTAAGAATAAGAACCAAATACGATACCGCTTCTATCTCCTAATGTAAGCATACTGCTTTTAGTTGGAATACCAACAGGACAAAAGCCCAAATAAAGAGTGATTCCAAAGAAGTATTTGGAAGGATCTTTCGCTGTGTTCATTCATGTAGCCTTTTTATATATTAATGTAACAGGTTTCGGGTTTAGGGTTTGGATGGAGGAGCCACAGACACTTTCAGGGTGTAGGTTTCCTCTGTCTCGGTTCTACATGGGCCTTCCTGCCAACATGGGATTCACAACGCTTGGAGCTTAACACAACGGCCTTGCCCCTTGGAGTGGGAGGACGGGTTCAGGGCTTAGGGCTTGGGGTTGAGGATTTGAGGGCTTCGGGGTTGAGGGTTTAGGGTTTAAGTTTAATTTAGATTTTACAGCTTCTTCTATACTGTAGTATACTGTAGGGAGATGAGGGCTTAGGGTTTAGGGGATAGGATTAGGGGGACCCTTGGGGATATGGACCCTTTGGGATATAGACCCTGTGAATAAGGTCCCTGTTTATGTCAGCCAGAAGAGGGCTAAGAAGGGTTCCCTTTTGAGGGTCCCCCTTGTCCTACCTAGGAGGGTTGAGGGTTGGAGGGTTTACCTAACAAAACCCGGCGAGTCCCCCGACCCTCGGCCGGCATCTGCAATCCCCAAAGTTGATGGGCCTAGGGTTTAGGGTTTAGGGTATAGGGTTTAGGGCTGGGAAAACTAGTCTCCATCGCTCCAAGAAGATCTGTGAGGTGTTGCGCTGCGTGCCCTAGACTACTAGACCCTCAGACCCCAAAGCCTCTACGGCTCTAAGTGCAATGATGGGACGTCACTTATCACGTGCACAGGGTGGCCTTTTAAACTGAAAATCCTGCGGCCTAGGGTTGTACTACACTAGCAAGAAAAGAACACGCTCGCAAAGCTGAGACCGGGTCCTGGTTCAGGAGCTTCAAGTTCAGGATTTAGGGGTTTAGGGTTTAGGGTTTAGGGTTTAGGTTTAGGGTTTCGGGTTTAGGGTTTAGGGTATACCCTAAACCCTAAACCCTAAACCCTAAACCCTAAACTATAGTTTAGGATCTCATGTCATGCCTTTTCACATCGCCATCTTGCAGCTACTTCCGTTCGGGCCAGGGGGGCTCCCGCCCTCGGACGGGAGGGGCGGGAGTTACCAACCCCCACCACGATCCCAAGAAGGCCCAGGACTGAGACATGGTCTTACTTGGAGGTTCATGGGTACTTAGAAGCAGGTGTATAGGTTTATAGGGCTATAGGGTTGAGGGTTTAGGGTTCATGGGTACTTCCAAGTTGGCTTAGAAGTCTAGCAACTATGGACAGAACATTCTTTAGGGTGCTTCTTACCCTACTTGCAACTACCCATGAACCTTCAAGTAAGCCCCTTTCGAAGGGCTAATTCTGAAGGTGCACGGTACCACTTTCGGATTTAGGGTTTAGGGTTGCGGGTTTAGGGGGCTAATTCTGAAGGTGCAAGGCCACTTTCGGTAGTTCCCCCAAGAGGACCACGGTCTGGAGCAGCTGAGAGCACATCTCACATGCGTTGATCGCAGAGCTCATCGTGCTGACATCGGCGGGTGCCGTGCACTCCTGCATCTCCAGGAGGAGAACCTTGGGGTGCGGTATTGAGGGGCCCCCCTGTGGATCTCTTATGTGCTTTTACTATCTGGGCTTCATGGTGGTGCAGAGGGAATTTTTGTTGGGTCCATCGAAATTCTGAAATTCCTTCCAAATCCGCCCTTGGTACCAGGGCTCTTCGCCAATGCCCTGCTTGGCTGCACGCGCTGAGGGCGGAGCTGTAGGCAATCGTGTTCGGCCGAAGCCGCCGCCGCAGCGCTGCGCTGAGGAGCGCGAGCGCCTGAGGCCATCTTAGGGCCTTCTCACAGGCGCTGATGGCAGAGGCGAAGGTGATCAAGTTTGCATGGACACACCGTTGCTCCATACGGTCCAGGAGGTGCAGGGCCATGATCCACTGCCCGGACTGCTCACAGGCACTGATCGTGGAACTGAAGGTCACCACCGACACTTCGACAAGCTCATCAGCCCGACAGAGCAACTGAAGGGCGGACATCCACTGAGACTCACGTTCGCAGGCTGTGATCGCGGCATTGAAGGCAATGGTGGTGAGCTGAAGATGAGCCTTCGGGAGGACGCGCAGCAATGCAATGGCCCTCTCCCACTCCGTGCCATTCGCACAGGCGCTGATTGCCGCATCGTAGGTAACCACATCTGGCTGCATCAGTCTTGTGCGGACCTCAGTCAGAAGGTGGATTGCCAATTGCCATCGGCCCGCATTTCCGCAGGCACTCATCGCAGAATTGACGCAGATGATGTTTACTTTGGCGCTTCTGCGCCCAATCTCCTGGAGCAGGGCCAACGTCCGCTGCCACTGGCTCGCCTTTTCTAAGGCACTCATCGCAGCAGCATATGTTATCACATCTGGATTCAAACTGTAATGGCCGGTTGCACGGAGCTGCAGCAAAGCCTGCTGCCACTCCTTGGTAGCCCAATAACCATATTATGATATGTGCACCCTTTTTTGGGGTTGGTTATTTTATAAGGGAACCCTAAACCCTAAACCCTAAAAACTAAACCCTAAACCCATAAACAGAAAAAGTAAAGGGTACCCAATGGGCTACCAAGACTCGGCAGCCATCCCACAGGCACTGATGGCTGCATTCGCCGCCACGATGCTCGGCTTCAGTGTGCGCTGGCTCTCCTGCAGGAGGTCGAGTGCTGTCGTCCAACGCCCGGCCTAGTTCATGGTTGGGACAGTTAAAAAAACTAGGGTTGGGGGACAGGTTAAAAGAACTAGGGTGTAGGGTTTAGGGTTTAGGGTTTAGGGGTAAAATGTTACCCCCCCCCCACTATGACTAAGTGGCTTTCTCACAAGCACTGATGGCCGCGCAGTAGGTGATGATGTCCACCTCGGGGATTACGAAAATAAGGGGCCCGCAAATACAGACCTCCAAAATAGTCGGATCCCTTATGACAAGAACCCCAATAACCCCAAACCCTAAACCCGAAACGCTAAACCCTAAACCCGGAAACCCCCACCTCCATGAAGCTGCTCTGGACATCCGCCAGCAAAGCCAGGGCCATCTCCCACTTGGCACACTTCTCGCAGGCGCTGATCCTAGGTAGCCCAGTAACCATACACAGTAAAGGTTTGAACCACCCTAAACCCTAAACCCTAAACCCTAAAACCTAAAACCCTAAACCCTAAACCCTAAACCCTAAACCTTTCTAGCCCTGAATCGCTTTTTTGGTGTTGGCTTGGTTTTTTTTGAACTGACGGAATCCGCGAGCCCCCTCCAACACGGGCAAAACGGTACCGCCCGGAGGATTCGCATCCCTGAGCCCCGAGACCGAAAACAACTGAACCCCCCCCAAAAACCCCTATGCTGATGATGTATATAAACCCTAAACCCTAAACCCTAAACCCTAAACCCTAAACCCTAAACCTCAAACCCTAAACCCTAAACCCTAAACCCTTTAAACTCTAAACCCTACACCCTGAACCGTGGCTTTTTCTAGTACTCGTAGTAGCACTAGTAGTAGCATGGTGGCAGCGTCTTGTCATCTTATCTTCACTCTTCCGAGGATCACGGCACTGTACGTGATGATGTCGATCTCCTGGCGGCTGTCGACTGCCTGGCACCTCGGTTGATGCATGGAGCCTGGAAGACAAGTCAGCCCATGTGCCTCTTTAAACAGGGCTTAGGACTTAGGGTTTGGATTCTCGGGTTTCGGGTTTAGGGTAGGTTGCAAGTAGGCAACCCCTTAGGTTTAGAGTCTATAGGGTTGAGGGTTTTGTCGTCTCATGTGCCCTTTTCGTTCACGTTCGTACGCTTGTAGGACAGGGATTGCCTGCGACGAGCTGCCCTTGCTGAAGGGCATGCATTGGGGATGTTCCCCCTGAAAAAAAACAGTCCTTAGTAGGGATTCTAGTGCCCCCTGTTATAGTCCCTATTTCGGACTGTTATTCTAGTACCCCCTGTTATAATCCGTATTGCGGACTGTTAGTATAAGGGGGAACATCCAAAGTCACACACGGCAACGCAAATCCAATCCCACAAGCAACCAGAACTCAAAAAATCCAACCCTCATCTTCATGGTGGAGACACCCTCATGCAAAAAAAAGGGGTTCAGGGTTCAGGGTTTAGGGTTTAGGGATCCATCCCCCTCCCTCCCCCCCCCCCCCGGCAAAAAACAAAACAAGTAATAAAAATAATAAGCATAATAATATTAATACTAGTAATACTAATGATAATAATAATAAGAAGAATAACAATATTTGCACCACCGGCGCAGGAGGATTAGGGCCATCTCCCACTGCGCCGCCTTCTCGCAGGCGCTGATGCTGGTGTTGTAGCTGATGAGATCCCCCGCCACTGCTTCGCACGCCATCCTAAACCCTAAACCCTAAACCCTAAACCCTAAACCCTAAGCACTAAACCCATTTTGGGAAAGACCCCAAACCCTGTGCCCTAGAGCTACAATATGGGTACATTGGTGATTCATCAACATACCTGCTCCTATATAACAATGGTAAGCTTTCACCACGCTTCCCCTCTTAAACCTATGTAGGAACCTTCAAACAAGTTCACCAAGACGAACGTAGATCAAATGCAACACCTAAGCCTATAAACCCTGTAAAACCTAGACCCCTTGTATAGCAGTGTTAGATATGCAGCTGCCTAAATTCTTGTTATTCTAAGCCCCTGAAGCGCCAGACAAAAAAAAGGCCCATAATCTCTGAACTCCCAATCTAGAACTTCAGCCCTACAACCTCAAGCTGAACATCTGTGATTATCAACCTCAAGCTGAACCTCTGTAGAGTTCATCGTTTGGGGTTTAGGGTTTAGGGCTTAGGCTTTAGAATTTATGGTTTGACGTTTGGCGTGTAGGCTTCAGGTTTAGGGTGTTGGGGTTTCTGAGCGTCTTGGCCCTAAATAACATCCCATTTAGGTTGCTGTTTGGGGTTTAGGCTTCAGGTTCAGGGTTTGGGGTTTCTTTGCGCGTCTTGGCCCTAAATAACATCCCAGAAGCCTCTGAAGCCCCGAAGGCTGACTCGAACCCAGCGCCTGTTCTCCACTGCCCCCCCACCCCACCGGGTTTAGGGTTTAGGGTTTAGGGTTTAGGGTTTGGGGTTTGGGGTTTGTGGTTTGGGGTTTGGGATTACCCCCCCTGGTCCCTGGATTGATGCCACCAGCAGGGTTAAGGGGGCGAGGGTTTAGGGTGAGGGTTTCGGGTTTCGGGTTTAGGGTCGGGGGCTTTAGGCTAAATTGTAGGGTTTGGGGTTTCGGGTTTCGGCTAAATTGTAGGGAGAGCATCTCGGCAAGCAGGAGGAGGGCGCAGGACCACTCGGCCGCCTTTTCCAGGGCCAGCAAAGTTGAGTTCAAGGTCACCACATCAGGCTGCAGCTGCTCCTCAGGGGGTTTAGGGTTTAGGGGTTTGGGGTTTGGGGTTTAGGGTTTAGGGTTGAAGTATCCTTGGGCACCCACAAGAGCACCTTTGCGCCATGACGACAAGATGACTTTGCCTTTGGTGGGTATAAAGATTGCTCAAGGTCAAACAGAATGTTCTTACAAACCCTCTGGAGAGGACCGGTCCTGGGCAAGCCTTAGTAGCTCCAGTGCCCGTTGCCACTCTGCGGACCGTCCGCATGCACAGACCGTCGCGTTGTATGTGACGACATCTGCCTGTTTAGACAACCGAGCGTGAGTCGTATGGAGGATAACTTCGTGCTATTGGGGGGGTAAGACTTAGGGGGATATAGTTTAGCCAACAGTACCCTTTTTTGAGGCCCTATTGACCTGTGTAAAGTGAAATCTACTAACCGATAGACCTTAAAAACGAGAAAACGTACAAGTTGTCATTGTGGTGCGTTTCCCTTCTCAGCTAAAATATACGTCCCACGCTACAGGTATCCCAATATACCCCTCCCCCCCCCCCGAAAAAATGATATAGCCTGCATTATAGGAACGGAACAAGAGTACCCTACTTGGGAAACCCACATAGCTAAACTGCTATTTAACATGTCTAAGGCTTTTGGGCGCAAAGGCCCAAAGGCCATATTACAATAGGTTTTCGGGCTAGTTCTGAGCCCAAGGGTCATTCTCGGCTACTCTACCCTAAGCCCTAAACCCTAAATCCTAAACCCTAAACCCTAAGCCCTATACCCTGAACCGTAAACCCTAAACCCTAGCCACTCTGGAGAGTTGTGGGGCCCTTCCTCCTCCACAGCCAAGCTGAAGAGGGAGATGGCCCTCGTCCACTCCCCTGCTCCCTCACCTCGGTATCCCCAAAGTAAACTGAAGAACTTAGGGCTTAGGGTTCCCCGGTAAAACCTTAGAGATCAGGGATTTTAGCCTCCTAAAGCAAAGGGAACGAGAAACCCTAAACCCTAAACCCTAAACCCTAAACCCTAAACCCTAAACCCTGAACCCTAAACCCGAGGGTCTCTGCAGGGCATCCTAGCCGCAGACGCTGATGGCCGCGTTGTAGGCAATCGTGTTGGGACGGATAGCCGCACTCTCAGCTTCGTGGAGCCAGTGAAGAGCCAGCTGCCAGTCCCGGTGCCTCCTACCTGATGGCTAAGGGTTTAGGGTTTAGGGTTTAGGGTTTAGGTTTAGGGTTTAGGGTTTAGGGCTGGGCGGAACACAAACCCTAACCCTAAGGCTCCAAGACTCTCATTTTCGGGTTTTGGGGCCCAAAGGCATTCTTATATAAGCTTTTGGGGCTATTTTGAGCCTAAGCACGCACACGCAATCCCCAAAAAAGATCAAGGGCCCATGTACCTTCACAGGAATTAGTTTGTTCGGTTCGTTGGAGCTTTGCTGGGTGAGGGCCCGCGGGGGGGGGAGGGGGGGGGGGTGTGTACTGTTCAACTTAGGGTGCCCCCCAAAAAGGACCATCACCTAGAAAACGCTCGCCCTAAGCCCTTAAAACTCTATTGCCTACCGGTTCTTAGCAGGGAAGGAAGGAATTAGGTACCCCATGTAGTCCCCCAAAGGGTGTACACAGGGGGGACATTGAGGTAATTCCTTCATTCCCTACAAAAAACCAGCATCAAAACCCCTAAGCCCTAAACTCTAAACCCAAAGCCTAGAGCCTTGGGAGAAACCCTAAGCCCCAAACCCTAAACCCTAAACCCCAAGCCCTAAACCTAAAACCCCAAACCCTAAGCCCTAAACCAAGGTACAAGCACTGATGCGACTCGTCAGCGCTTTGTGGGGATGGGTGGCCTTGTCCAGGCGGAGGGCAGGCTGCATGGCAGTATGGAAGAGGCCCTCCCAGCGCTTCCCTCAAGTAAGCTTAACAACGAAACCCAAACAGACCCCATCTACCCTAAGCCCTACGGTTTATATGGCTTGGAGCTTTCCCTTTCTCTCACCTTAAGGGTAGAAGGCTCTCGGTATGGACATCTCGAGACTAAGTGGCAGGGATATTCTGCACCCTAAACCCTAACCCTAACCCTAAACCCTAAACCCTAAACCCTAAACCCTAAACCCTAAACCCTAAACCCTAAACCCTAAAGCCTAAACCCTGAACCTGAAAATCTAAGCCCTCAACTGAACCCTAAACCCTCAACCCTAAGTGCCGGATTGAGCCGAGTTGGGCCGCGCTCGCAAGCCTGGAAGGATCCCACAGTGCTCTGAGCCCATGAACCACCAAGCCAAACTCGACTAAAGAGGGTTTAGGGTTAGGGTTTAGGGTTTAGGGTTTAGGGTTTAGGGTTTAGGGTTTAGGGTTTAGGGTTTAGGGTTTAGGGTTTAGGGTTTAGGGTTTAGGGTTTAGGGTTTAGGGTTTAGGGTTTAGGGTTTAGTTCAGCGCTTATAGGGTTGGGGCCTGAGACTGCAAGTTCTTGGAGCCTTAGGGCAAGCGATGACGGGTTTAAGGGGTTTAGGGCTTGCCAGGGTTCAGGGGTCTTCGGGTTTAGGGTTTAGGGCTTCGGCTTTATGTTAGAAGGCTTCGGGGTGTAGGGTTGAGGGTAAGGCAGACCCCAAACTGAAACTCCAACACCTCTCTCTAGACTCTCTCAAACCCCGGATCCTGAAGCTTAGGCCCTAGACCGCCCGCCCACGCACACGAGAACTCTCAATCTCGCCAACAATCGAGCCGAGTGTCGAGGTCCCTTGCAGCTGACGAACGGACTGCTGCAGGATCCGAATCTCCTCTCACAGAAGTTAGAGTCATGTCTAGAGGGGGGGGCGGGGGCTGGAGTTTAGGGTTTAGAGTTCAGGACTCAGGGTTTGGGGTTTAAGAGTTCAGGGTTAGGGGTTTGGTTTAGGGGGTTAGAGCTTAGGGCTCAGACTGTTGGGGTTGAGGAGTTTGGGTTTGCACCTCCGACGGAACCGGACAAACCATGGATTGCTTTGGGTCTTGAACTGCGTTGAAGGGTCTTCTCTTTCAATTGAGTTTAGGACAAGGGGGCCAAGAAGGGGGAATGGGCTGGGTTGGGGGGGTTAAGGCACGGTTTAGGGTTTAGGGTTTAGGGTTTAGGGGTTGTGGGGTTTAGGGTACAGGGTTGGGGGTGCTTTGGCTTGATTCAGGGGCCAGGCGCTTCATAGGGGGGGGGAACTAGACCCTAAGCCCAAGATACAGGGTTTTGGGCTAATGCTTTAAAAGGTTCACGCTTCCTTTTCCTTCTTTGAACACTCAAAGAGGAACTTAGTTTCAATATTTCAGACTTCTACACTCAAACCAAAACGTCCAGAAACAAGCTTCAGGTGGTGTGCGGCTCCTCACGCAGGGGCGCCGCCCACAGCTCAAAGGAGTGTGACGTCTGGCAGTATGCAGGTTGGGGGGTCGGGGGGCTGAGGGCCATGGGGTTCAGGGTTTGGGGCTACTTGGCAGTTTGGAAGGTTCTTGTGAGATGAGGTCGGGGAGGGCTCGGGGCAAACTAAATCCAACTAAACAGGTGCAGAGCTGGGGTGTAGTGTTTAGGCTGTAAAGTTTAGGGTTTAGGGTTTCGGGTTTAAGGTTTAGGGTTTAGGGAGATCAGGTGGTGTCTGCTATTCTTCGACTACCGTTGCGCCGAATCTTCACGGCTGGCTTGCTTATCTTCAGCACATCACGGCCGATTTCCGGGGGATGTGGGCATGTTCTTCTCAAGGCAGCCCAAACGCCCAAACCTTTGCGATGGCAGTGCCCTTAACGCCTTAAACCCCTCAACCCCGCGACCCCTGAAACCCTAAGCCCGTGACCAAACTTTGCTCCATAACGCTAAAACCCTCAACCTTACCTTAAGAACCCAAAGCCTACTTGTTTGTCGCTTACCTAAGAACCCTATTAGCCTGCAAAGAAGTAGGTTTTGGGTTCTTGTGAGGAACCCATGTACGAGCTGCGAATGATCAAAAGTAAGCTGCGCGCATGCAGTGGGTGCTGACAGGTTGGTGTCTGCGTTGGGTCACTTTTCGTGGCGGTCCCTCCTCAGCCCGCCACCTCCCCATCCCTTTTCTCCTCCCGAACCCTAAACCCTAAACCCTAATCCCTAAACCCTTATAAACCCTAAACCTAAACCCTAATCCCTAAACCCTATAAACCCTAAACCACCGAAGGTGCGGCACTCAGAATGTCCACACATCTTCCATGATCCGGCCAAAGCTTAGATAAACCGAAGCTTGGATCCCCAAGCCCCAAGCTCAAACCAAAGTGTCGAGCCTAAAACACCAAGGCAGGTAAGCAATAGAATTATACCGGTTTAGGGTTTGGGGTTTAGGGTTTCGGGTTTAGGGTTTGCGGCACCAGGTACATGTCCTTGTTGTAGTGGCATTTAGTCTCCTAATGGTGAGCCCTGAACCTAAAGCACTTGAAAGCTGCCGGGTGCCTCTGCCCGGAATGGTGCCAGCTCCTGCAGAGAGGGCCATGATGAAGCCCCGATATCACAACCCCAAAGGGTCCATGTACCTATACAGTATATATATATATATATATATATATTTGGGCCTTAAAGGGGTTCCTATATAGTAGCTTTAGGGCCCAAGTATATACTATATAGGTACATGGATCCTTTGGGAACCCTTCACTCCTAGGGTTGCCAAGCAAACAGGTATACGTCCTACCTAAGCCATCTCTGGTGGCTTCCTTTTCGGGGGGTCCATGTCAAAATACTTGATTTGGGAACCCTGAAGAGAAACATGATTTGGAGAACTGAAGGGAGAAGTAGTGCGATGAACCTGAACTGGTTCTCTCCTGCTCCTTTAGCCCCTGGTGGCTGCACATACGGCAAAAGCCTACAACCGCTAGATAAAACACCATGAAGAGTATCCTAGAATTAGGGAACCCTAAACCCTAAACCCTAAACCCTAAACCCTAAACCCTAAACCCTAAACCCTAACACCCTAAACAGGGGCCCAGCAAGTCCGCAAAGGGCTTTGCCAGCCAAGCAGCTGCGCGCAACTGCGACGCCAGCTCAGCGACCTGCGAGCTGTGCTAGTCGCCTGAAGCCTATAGAAATACGCCATACCCCTAAGGGTCCGTGTACCTAATTGGGGAATACTTGGGCCTGAAAGTACTTCCTATACAAGGACTTTGGAGCCCAAGTATATAATAATCAGGTACATGGACCCTTAGGGTACAACTTAGTAAGATCTAAGCCTCTATTTGCGAAACGTACTTAGGGTTGTAGGGCCCAAGCCCATATTCTTGTACCTTCGAACGAGGCAAAACAAGTGTACCCTACATGTAAGGTGCATTGCATTTGGCACAGTTTCGGTCAGAGTGTCATCCCTAAACCCGTCACCTCAAACCCTAAACCGTGAACCACAGAAGGGAAGGACCAAGACCAAAAACCCTAAACCCCCCAAGCCCGAAAGCCTAACCCTAATCGCAAACCTCAACCCATAAACCCACCCATGAACCACAGACTCATGAATTAGGGTTTAGGGTTAGGAATTAGGGTTACGGGGCATTACGGGGGTGGGATGGGCGGGGGGTGGCGGGGGGTGCCATTTTGGGGCGATAAACCCGAATCACCCTGCCTTGAGAGACCTATATAGCAAACGCCTTTAGGGTTTAGGGTTCCCCCTCAGCCTCCCCACGCGTCTCCGCCAAGACCTCTGGCTGCTCGTCCTAGCGTCAAGCGCCGGGTGTAAACCCCACTCGATGCCCAAACCCTTAACCCTGAACCCTAAAACCCTGAACCCGAATCACCAAAGATGAACATTACGCAACTTTTTTGACGCCAAGCTGCAAACACATGCTAAACTCCGCACCCTAAACAGAAGCCCGAACCCAGGAACCGGAACCACCCCCTCTCCCTCCTCAGCCTAAACCCTAAACCCTAAACCTCCAGGTCATGCTGCACCATCAGCACGAAGATGAAAAACTGAAGTACTTTCAGCTCAATGCCAAATTCCAAGTCACACTTAAAACAAAACCCCTCAGCCTTATCAACCCTGAACCCTAAACCCTGAACCCTAGCCCATCAACCCTAAACCCTCAACCCTCAAACCCTGAAACCCTCAAACACTGAAACCCTCAAACCCTGAAATCCTGAAACCCTGAAACCCTGAAATCCTCAAACCCTCAACCCTATACCCTGAAACCCTCAACCCTAAACCCTCCACCCGTGGACAGTTGGCTAGCATCAGTGGCCCGCGCGGCATCGTCATCAGCTGAAACCCTCCATCATAAACCCTCAATCCTAACCACTCGTGGTGGCAACATTACCCTAAACCCTAAACCCTAAACCCTAAACCCTAAATCCTAAACCCTAAACCCTAAACCCTAAGCCCATAAACCCTAAACCCCATCCCCCAGCAACACCTGCATTTCCAGCTCCGGCACCGAAGCGAAGCTCTTCTCCTTGCGCAAGGTTAGGGTGCGGGTTTGGGGTTTAGGGTTTAGGGTTTAGGGTTTAGGGTTTAGGGTTTAGGGTTTAGGGTTTAGGGTTTAGGGTTTAGGGTTTAGGGTTTAGGGTTTAGGGTTTAGGGTTTAGGGTTTAGGGTTTAGGGTTTGGGGGGTGTAGGGGTTTAGGGGGTTTTAGGGGGCACGAGGTTCAGGCGGTTTAGGGTTCAGGGGTTCTGGGCTTTACCAAATTCTAAGCGTGCTTATAAGCTGATTCTAACCCTATTCGGCACTTGAGGTTCAGAATTGGGCTCCAAGGACTCTTATGTTGAGGTTTTTGGGACGCGAAGGCGTTGTGATGAAAGGTTTTTAGACTCTTTTGAGCTTAAGGGTAAACCCTAATCTTTACATGCTCAGTATTTTTGCTGGACTAGCGCTCTCTAATGTGTCCTCGATCCGGAGTTTCGCTTGTCTTGGTTAC